CCCAACCCTACCCCACAGAAGTAACCAAAGTAAAAAAACAGTGTGACTTTGTGATGCAGCTTTTTCTGCATCTCTAAGTGAAACATTGAGGAGAAAGTGCAAAGTTTGTTTTCAGTTATTGCTTTGTTAAAAGAAAATATATATATTTAAAAAAAATCAGTGTCATCTCAATGAGTTTTTCTCTTTCCCATGAGCTTTAAGCAGGGAGTAAAAATTCTGCAAAACTTCAGCGTTGTTTTTTTTCTTGAAATTATCCAAGGATGTTCTCAACGACATGAGGAAATAGTTTTGGAGAAATAGTTTGGGAAAAACAGTTTGGGAAACTTAGTATCTCTGCTCAGCTTTTTTTGGTTAGGAAACCAGCTAATCTAGCAATTTTTGAGGAATGTAAACCGTGTAAGATTGAGGCAAAGGGGAAAAAACATTCACAGCATCTGTAAGTCTGGGACATGAGAAGGTGGAGAAGGAGGCTCTAACCCCACCGCGGCCGCCCCCTCTCCCCGCCATTGGCCCTGGCGGCGACGGCAGGGCCTCGGTAACGGATGGAAACGCCGGGCTGGAGCAGGAGGTCGCAGGTAATGTCCCCCCCCGAGGGCGGCTTTCTTCACCCAGAGCTCCTCCTCATGAGGACGGATGGAAGAGTTTGGGTTTGACTTGAGTGAACTTCACCTGAGGTTTCTTTGCTCATGGGTCACTTCTGGGAAAGTGGTATCGTCCATCAGAGTCTCCTAAGTTTGTATGGTTAGTGTAGCAGCACCTTAGTCCTTTATAATTCCTTTATAATTCTTTTTCTTTGCATATTTATTTGGGTCCAGCTTCTACTGACTTCCTAAGCAGTGGTTGTGCTGGATGTGGTGGTTTATAAATGTGTTTCTTAAGGTCCTAGCTCTTAAAATAGTAGGGCAGAACCATGATGCTTATGAATTAGGACCTAATTTGTAAGTCTTACTATTTCTTTTGTGGATTATCTTTTCATCTACTCGTTCAGTTGCCGAAAACTAATGGTGAACCTATAAGGCAAACTCTTTTTCTTGTTCTAAAGCCCTTGATGATGTAAAAGGAGATAGGGAATTGATTAAAATATTTAGCTGGAGACACAGAATTCATGTCATCGCTGAAATGCATCTAAGACCCAAATTGTGAAACTTAGTTTTGTTAGGTGTTGTTAAGTATTTAGCAAGTGTATGCTGATGAAGAATTTCTTAATGAATTTATATTCTACATACATTTGGCTTCAGTGTTAGGTGTTGTTAAGTATTTAGCAAGTGTATGTTGATGAATTTCTTAATGAATTGATATCCTACATGCATTTGGCTCTAGTGTCTCTTATTCTTCCATAATTGGATGGGAATAATAAATCATTCTATAATTACTTCATCTGTTTTGAGGTGGGAGTATCAAGTAGCACCTTGATAGATGTAATAGGGCTGCTGTGAGAACCAGGGTACAGAACATAATGTTAGGCCTGTACAGAAGAAGTTTGCAGGATTACCCTGATTTATATGCTACTTGAAGGAAAAACAAGGAAGAATGATGAGGGACTGTACTTATAAGGGTATATGGGAGACTCAGTGTAAAATATCTATGTATGTTTTCATCTGCCTTTAACACAGCTGTAACAAAGGCTACAAAGATGTGTGAGCTCATTAGGACACAGGTGTTCTTATACAACTCATTAGCTCTGAACTTATTTAGGCTGGGCATAGATAGATGGTTCTTCCCTAACAAATTCCTGCATCAATACTATGGCTTGGCTACACAAGTAGGCTATTTTGTTTGTACTACTGTTAACTCTGTCCGTAAACTGTAAAGTAGAAATTCCTATATGGTTCTTGCTTCCTTCCACACAAGCCCCATCTTGCAGCTTTAGTTCTGTCCCATGGCAGAACTAAGCAGGATTCTGGTGGCAGCTGCCTTTGAAAACTGCCTGGGTGTCTCTTTGGAAATAGGCAGAATTTTAATGCACAGGCTGGCTGTGTTCGTTTATAGAATTACTGTTTCCAATAATATCCCTGCTGATCTCATGAAAGGGGAAAAAAAAATAAACAGTAATGAAAAAGATGTTGGGCTTGTTCCAGCTGAAAAGAACAGTAATTTTTTTTCTTCAAAGCTGCTTCTCTCCTTCCTCTCTCCCTCCCTCCCATCTGCCTCCCTGGGAGGTGAGAGGGAATCTGACTTGTATCTTGGTCTCCCCATGGAATTTTGGATGTGTGCAAGAAGTTTCCTTTTCCTTATAAAAATAAGTCATCGTTCTGCAAGTCTTAAGTTCTCTCCTTCATAATTTCTATCTGAAAAGGACCTTGTGAAGTTTATCTGTCTAAACTAATGCTGCTAATTCCTCTGCCAAGCTCTGTGACTTCATAAATATGCCGCTTTCTCTCAGAAGTTTGTTGATATGCAAGACTTGCCAGCAGTAGTTACCAAATTAGTGACAGATCATCTCCTGTGAGCTGCTCTTCATAGATGCACCTCTGAGCTCAACAGGAGCTCCCTGACCAAAGTTCTACAGTTCTTCAGCAGGTCACCTGTGAGGGTGGGCTCGTAGGGTTGGGTGTGAAGTGTAGCCTTGAGCAGAGTGAGCTATGTACTGTTATTTTTCACTCTCTGAAATGTATTGCTTCAAAGAACAATATTTAAAAGTAAATACAGTGTTTTGAATAACTGTTGTATCTAAATAATTTAGAAAAATGCCAGCAACCTTTCCTTTCTTTCCTTTAACCTTCCTTCCTTACATTCTTTTTTTCTTTTTAAAAAAAAAGAGGCCTCTGGCTATCATTTGCTATAACTATACGTATATTTGCCTGTAGATACATTTTCTTACTATTTCTCCTCTTGAACTGTTACTCTGTCATTATTATCTTCTTCGTTTAACACCTTCAAGTACCGCCCAGTTCTGCAATGTAATTAAGTGGATACAATTAGGTGCATGTGTGTGTGTCTTTGTAACCACTTAGAACCAAACTGCCTGCCTTGCCCATGGTATCTCTCTAGGTTTTTTCTCAGCCATGTTTTAAAGGATGTGATACCCTGTTATAGGAATGTAATTAAGTGGATACAATTAGGTGCATGTGTGTGTCTTTGTAACCAGTTAGAACCAAACAGCCTGCCTTGCCCATGGTACCTCTCCAGGTTTTTTTCTCAGCCGTGTTTTAAAGGATGTGATACCCTGTTATAGGGATTGGGGGTTAGAGGGAATCAGAGCGGGCTGTGCAGGATGCTGTGAGGTTCAGATGGATTTCTTTGATCCTGCTCTACAGGTGCATGTGTGCATCCACCTGGCAGCAGGAACAGCAGCGGTCTAGCCAAATTGTTTATCTGGTTCTAACACGCCATTCCTGTTCAGCCTGCAGGAGGGAAAACTTAGGATCCTGGCACCCTGCCTCTCACTGTTAGGTGGGGGTAGAGTTTCCCTGTCCCACAGAACTCTGAGAGTGCAGAAAATGTTTCCTCCCTGTGCAGGAATAAAACAGACTTCGTATATTTGCCTGTAGATACATTTTCTTACTATTTCTCCTCTTGAACTGTTACTCTGTCATTATTATCTTCTTCGTTTAACACCTTCAAGTACCGCCCAGTTCTGCAATGTAATTAAGTGGATACAATTAGGTGCATGTGTGTGTGTCTTTGTAACCACTTAGAACCAAACTGCCTGCCTTGCCCATGGTATCTCTCTAGGTTTTTTCTCAGCCATGTTTTAAAGGATGTGATACCCTGTTATAGGGATTGGGGGTTAGAGGGAATCAGAGCGGGCTGTGCAGGATGCTGTGAGGTTCAGATGGATTTCTTTGATCCTGCTCTACAGGTGCATGTGTGCATCCACCTGGCAGCAGGAACAGCAGCGGTCTAGCCGAATTGTTTACATGGTTATAACACACCATTCCTGTTCAGCCTGCAGGAGGGAAAACTTAGGATCCTGGCACCCTGCCTCTCACTGTTAGGTGGGGGTAGAGTTTCCCTGTCCCACAGAACTCTGAGAGTGCAGAAAATGTTTCCTCCCTGTGCAGGAATAAAACAGACTTCTTAGAATTGTAGAATGGTTAGAGTTGAAAAAGACCTTAAAGATCATCGAGTTCCAGCCCCCCTGCCCTGGGCAGGGACACCTCCCACCAGACCAGGTTGCTCCAAGCCCCATCCAGCCTGGCCTTGAACTTCTCCAGGGATGGGGCAGCCACAGCTTCTCTGGGCAACCTGGTCTGGTGGGAGGTGTCCCTGCCCAGGGCAGGGGGGTTGGAACTTGATGGTCTATAAGTTCCCTTCCAACTCTAACTATTCTAGGATTCTAGGATTCTATGTTTCATGCATTTGGAATTCAGGAATGTAAAATCTGAGCATCTGAGCATCCATATAGGAATCAAAGTGGATGGTTAGATTTTCAGAATTGCTGACTAACAGTAGTAAACTCTTAGTTGGTTTCCCTCCCGCCGCCCATCACATGCTTGTTGCGCTGGAAAACTCCCAACAAAAAAAAATTGCTCGCTACGATTTTTTTAAAAAAGAGGGAAGGGGAAAAAAAAAAACAAAC